GTTTGGGGTTCATAGGGTTTCTAGGGTTTAGGGTTCATAAGGTCTAGTGGTTCGGGAATTGTTTAGGGTCTTTGTTCAACCCTCGGTGTGGGGTTGTTAGATATCAAACTAAACTCGTCTCCTCGCCCGGTCTACTCCTCGCCCATCCTCCCGAGAGAATCCCCAGAGAATTCCTGGAGTGCCCAACCCCAGGGTATCCCCCTAAACTAACAACCATAAACCCTAAGAATCCCTGGGGTGCCCCCTCGGGTTCATGGGCTTATGCGGTTTACAGCATTCACGGAGTTTATTAAAGCGTTGATAAGGCGTTTACAGGGTTTAGGCAGCACAAGGGTCCAGGGCAAGGGCTTTCGGGTTGGAGAAGATTTAGGCTGGTCGAGGGTTGAGGTTCTAGTGTCAAAAGGTGTGTTTCGGTTTCAGGGTTTAAGGTTTGGCCATCTGGGCTTTGGAGTGGAGGGGGGGGGGAGGTTCCAGGGCCTGAGGGAAGCTCATGTCAGAAGGCCGTGCAAAAGAATTGAAACTAGGGTCACGGGGAGCATCTACAGACAAGCGCATGGAGTCCGAAATGCCGGCATCCTGAGACGCCTTAACAAATGCTAAGCCAGACCGTCAAACGCTAGATTCCAAGAAGGCCCTAAACTCCAAATCCCAAACCCTAAGGCCTAATCCCTAAACCCGAAACCCCAAACCCTAAACCCTAGACCCTAAACTTCCCAACCCCTGATGCAGACCAGTTAGCCAGGTCGTCCTCGACCCGTCTGTGCGCCAGATGCTGGAGGACCTGTTCAAGGTATTAGGTTGGAAAGTTAGGGTTTAGGGTTTAGGGTTTAGGGCTTAGGGTTTAGGGTTTAGGGTTTTGGCCAAAAGGGTTTGTAGCGGCTACGGAGAATTACTCACCACTGTGGCTTCCCGAACCTAAGCCCTCAAAACGAAACCCTTGCGCTTCCAAAACATTTTCAATCAACAAATCAGAACATTCTTAAGCCCTGAGCCTCAAGTGCTATAGCTTCTTAACATGATGGCTTAACCCCAGGAGTTTCAAGGTCCCAAGCCCGAAGCCCAAGACAAACAAGAACCTAAACCCCACTTGGGGTTCAGGGTTTGAAGTTCGGGGTTTAGGGTTTCGTACACCTTCAACCCTAAACCTGGCCCTCCCAGTCTCCAGGCGTCTCAAGATGCCAACCTCTTCCCCACATGGTTTCAGGGGCTTCAGGGCCTTCAGGTGTTGGGGAGGTTTAAGGGTGTCAGCAGGCCTCAACCCCTCACCCGTCACCCTAAACCCGAAACCCGAAACCCGAAAGCCTAAACCGGAAACCCGAAACCCTAAACCCCAAACCCTAAACTCGAAACCCTAGACTGACCCTGCATCCGGGTTAAGGGGCTTTGCTTTCTGAGGACATGGCCCTCATCGCAGCTGCGGTTGGCAGGAGCTCTCCACCCCCCTGTTTGTGTGTGTGTGTGTGTGTGTGTGTGTTCGTTTTTTGGGGGGTTTAGGGTTTAGGGTTTAGGGTTTGGGTTAGGGTTTAGGGTTGGCCGTTAGGGTTTAGGGTTTAGGGTTAGGGTTTAGGGTTTAGGGTTTTTAGGGCGTTTAGGGTTAGGGGTTGGCTGTAGGGTTTCGGGTTTAGGGTTAGGGTTTAGGGTTTAGGGTTTAGGGGGGGGGTTTAGGGGGGGGGGGGGAGAGGCAGCGAGCGGGGGGGGGGAGTTCGTTCCTAAAAGTCCTCTAAACGAGCAAGAACAAGGGCACCCGTATGGAACCCCCACGCCCTGGACCCCAAGCCCTAGCTTATCATGCTCGTTCTGGATTTTGAGGCTTCGCTAAATCCCTATTCGGGAATGGTAGTATAGTTAAGTCTACCAGTAAGGGCGAAACCTCCACAGCCCTGAAGCTTTCCTACTCCTAAACCTAACCTCCCTCCAAAAGCTGAGCCCAAAAAAGGTTTCACGATCACCCTAAACCCTAGACCCTAGACCCTAGACCAGACCCTAGACCCTAAACCCTAAACCCTAAACCCAAACCCTAAACCCTAAACATACGCAGCTTGGGCGGCCCTCTTGGTTCACTTGGCGCTCGAGGAGCTCGGAGCCGCTTTGCCCAAAGCAGTGTTATACGGGCCACCTGGAACAGGCCTCATGGGGGTTCAGGGTAAAGCCTAAACCCACTAAACCCCAAACCCCAAACCCAAAAACCAAACCCCAACCCCAAACCCCAAACCACAAACCACAAACCCTAAACCCTAAACCCTAAACCCTAAACCCAAACCCAAACCCTAAACCCAAACCCAATACCCTAACCCCCTAAAACTCTAAACCCTAACCCTAAACCCTAAACCCTACATGAAAGTTTCATGGGTAATATAAACAAGGGCTATAGCTAAGGTCTTGCCACCTTACTCGATACCCATGAACCTTCAAGTCGGCGCTGAACCCTGGAAACAAGCCCTCTGAATTTGTGGGGCTGCTTTGGTGCGGGATGTCGGCGCCAGGGTTACAGTCAAGTCAAACGTGTGTAGGGTCGCACATTCACCCGACAGGTCCCTGCAAGAAAACCCCAGAGCAACCCCCCCTAACCCCCCCCCCCCCCGCTCCCTCTGCCGAGAGGGCTTGGAGCTTTTAGGTCGGTTTATGGGCTTGGGGTTACTGGGCATTCCAAGGCTTAGGGTCTCTTTGGGGGGGTTTAGGGTTTCGGTAGGGCCTAGGTTCTGGGCTTGGGGTCTTGGGGTTTGTGGTGTGGGTTCGAGGTGAGGGGTAGCGGCCGCTTTGGCTTTTCGCGGCTTTTGGTGATTGGCGGTTTGTTTCTAAGGCTTTGGGGTTTAGGGTTGAAACCCTAACCCTAAACCCTAAACCCTAAACCCTAAACCCTAAAACCCTACACCCTAAACCCCTAAACTCTAAACTATAACCTAAACCCTCTACCTTAGACCCTATAAACCCTGAGTACCAGGGAAGTCCTTGACGCCCGTAGCCGTGCGGAAGCGTGCGGAATGGGACGCCGGGATTGCAGTTAGGGCGCTGTTAGGTAGCGGTTTATGTAGGGTTCGGTTTAGGGTTTTAGGGTTTAGGGTTTAGGGTTTATATATAGACCTTGTAGGCTCTTAGGCTCTCACGGGTTTCGTTTGTAGGGGCTAGGTTAGGCTGAGGATGAAGTGCTCAGGCCTCCTAGAGAAGTGCTTGGTTTTCCCTATCATTCCTGATGAAACGGATTGATATTCAATGTTCCGGAGATTCCAAAGATGAATCCAGATAATAAACAAGATTCCTAAGCCTTTTACGATCACAAGTTTTTACCCCTAAACCCTAAAGACCCAGGCCGCAGGCAATGCAACCAACCACTGAGGCCCTGAACCCTCTTAACCCCCCTGCGCGCCTTTCCCATTGAAACATGTATGTAACTGTTTGAGGTTGTTGGACTGATTAACGCTAAACCTAACCCTAACCCTAAACCTAAACCCTAAACCCTAAAACCTAAACCCTAAACCCTAAACCCTAACCCGAAGCCCGAACCCTGAGCCCTAACCCTAAACCCTAAACCCGAAACCCTAAAACCTAAACCCGAGAACCCTAAGTTAAGTACGATGGCGGAATGCGGAGGACTACGCGATCATGGCCTGGGGGCAACGTCTGGGACTGCAGGGCGCAGAGTAGGGCCTAAAGGTCGAACCCCCCCCCAGGGCCTACCCCTTGGGGCAGGAGCAGGCCCAAGCCCTAAACCCTAAACCCTAACCTAAACCCTAAACCCTAAAACCCTAAACCTAACCCTAAACCCTAAACCCTAAAACCCTCGCTATTCATTATAGTAATTAAAAGCCCTAAATTGAAAGTCCGTGGGCAAGGCACAAAAACTGTCGCAGGCAGAAAAATTCGTGGGCAAGGCCGGTTTTGGGGTTTTGGGCCGAGGCAAGGCCCAAAACCCCAAAACGGGCCTCGCCACGAATTTTTTGTGCCTTGCCCACCAATTTCTGTGCCTTACCCACGTTTTTGTCGGCCTCAAAACTTGCTGGGCAAGGCACACAAATTCACACAAAGATTCGTGGGCAAGATTGAAATCAGCTGTGTCGAGAATTTAACCCTTGTATTTCTTCATGTTTTAGGATTCTCTGGGGCTCGACTAGAGATTGCTCGACCTGGAGCTGCTAAACCCGAAACCCTAAATCCTGAACCCAAACCCCAAACCCCAAAAACCCGAAACCCCAAACCCCAAACCCTGAACCCTAATCTCTAAACCCTAAGATCTCCCGAGCCCTCGAAGCCTTGCAGGAGGAGGCTGTGCCCGAGCTCCGGCGCGTCTTCCGCTGGGCTCAGAGGTGTCCGGGGGAGGGCTTCAGGCTCCGTAGGGTTCAGTGTTTAGGGGGTGGGGTGTAGGATTTAGAGGTTAGGGTTCACGGTATGACCCTTAAACCCTAAACCCTAAGCCCTTGAACCCAAAACCTTGAACCCGAGGCTCTGGGGGATATGGCTTCGACATATCTCCTTGGGGGTTGTGGGCATAGGGTTTAGGGTTTAGCGACTAGGGTTTAGCAGTATTTATTGTAGGCTTTAGGGTTGAACCGCAAAAAATAGATTCAGGGCTTCGTTGTTGGGTTCGGATGGGGCGTTTCCATCTTGGTGGAGCTCAACCACCAACAAGCCAATGGCCCGATTTGTAGGAACCCTTTAAGGTTTAGGGTTTAGTTTTTTTGGGGGGTTTTGGTTCCAGGAATTTGTGTTAGGGTTTTGGGGTTCAGGGTTCAATGCCTAACGAACCTTACCAGCCGTTGACTGCCAAACCCTGAGCCCCCAAACCCAGAACCCCTGCAGCCCTACAGCCCTAAACCCCAATCCCGAACCCCAAGCCGAAAACCCCTAACTCCTAAACACCTACCCCTAAAGCCTAACACTTAAACAATACGCAAGTGTACAGGAACTGTAGCACTGCGGCAGATCAGGACATTAAACCCTTAAACCCCAAAACCCTAAGCCAGGCTGTCAGGTAGCTTTTGTTCTGGATCGGCCCATGATCGCAGGTCCCCACGTGGAGTCTTGCTCTTCGTGGATGAGGTGCCCGGAGGGTTTCTGATTATGTTTAGGGTTCAGGCACTGAATTTAGTCCCCCACAAAAATGGCCCCTACAGCTATGTGCTTTACTGAGCGGTTGTAGGTGTTTGGTCCTCTGAACCACCAGCTCCCCCCCATTCCCCTGGCCATGTTTGCAGAAGTGATGCTCAACGCCATGCAAGCGCGGATTGCTAGCTCCCCCTTCCTCCCCTCTCCCTCCCCCCCCCCCCCCCCCCCCCCCCCCCCCCCCCCCCCCCCCCCCCCCCCCCCCCCCCCCCCCCCCCCCCCCCTTCACAAGGAAAAGCTGTGGGACACAGCATATACGGGGGCACGCATGCCATGCCCAACCGAGCTTGAATCTGCGCGCGTCGGAAGGTATAACGAACTACCCATGAATGTTCCACAAACCCTAAGCCCCTAAACCCTAAACCCCAAACCCCAAACCCCAAACCCTAAACCCTAAACCCTAAACCCTAAACCCCAAGTAGGTAGGGTCAGCTGCTGCCATCTCTGAAGGCGGAGGCCTTCCTCGCGCAGCGAAGGCATGGCAACTTTCACCTTCGGGCGGCCGTGCCTCCTGGATGCACACCCTGGGGCGGGAGGTTTGGTAGGGTTTAGGGTTTAGGGTTTAGGGTTTAGGGTTTAGGGTTTAGGGTTTAGGGTTTTAGGGTTTTAGGGTTTTTAGGATTTAGTGTTTAGGTTAGAGGGGTTGGTGGTCTCTTTCAGTAGGGTTTCTGTTTCGTAGGGGTATCTATTCGGGGCTCTTATTGGGGTATCTAGGGGCTGTATGAAGGTATAAGGGTAACAGATAAAGAGGCCACCGGCCTTTATAAGGTTTAGGGTTGAGGGTTCTCAAACAGGATCCCCGCTGTTAGCGCCCCTTTTACTTTTTGTTTTCTTGAAGGAAGTGAATTAAAAAGGTATCCATCACGAAACTGTGGCAGTAAAAGTTAGCGGAACCTTCGCCCGTTTGGGTGAATACCACCAGCCTACCACTACCCTACCGATTAGAAGATGATTCCTATACTCCCCCCTACATCTCACCAAGTACGGCACAACTACTTCCCCATTACCGATGCAAGTATGGGAATAACCGAGTACCTCATCCATATACAATCTCACCAAATATCACCACTACCTCCCCAGCACCAAGACCAGTACAGGAAGAGCCAATTGCCTCATCCATATTCCCTAAGGTGGTATTGTCATCCCAAAGTGGGCAAGGGTTCCTTCATAGATTTTACTAGGTTTTGGGTAAACCCCCAAGCCCTTCTTTTCAGATCCCGGGCAGCTTGAATCGGTTCTAGGCCCTGAAACCCTGAACCCTAAACCCTGAACCCTAAACCCTAAACCCTGAAGCCTAAACCCTTAACCCCTGGGCACCGTCTGGCCCAGGTCGTTTTTCCTGACCGAGACGGGTTCCAGCAGCACCCGCCGCCGGGCTGCTTCGGCTTTAGGGTTTAGGGCTAGGGTTTAGGGTTTAGGGTTTAGGGTTTAGGGTTCAGGGTTTAGGGTTTAGGGTTTCAGGGTTCTGCTCGGAGTGCGCAAGAAGGACCGCTGCGCTTTCAACATGCTCCAACCCTATGCCTTGGCCTTAACCAAGAACCCGGAACCTGTTTCCCTAAAACCCTAAACCCTAAACCCTAAACCCTAAACCCTAAACCCTAAACCCTGAACCCTGAACCCTGAACCCTGAACCCTAAACCCTAAACCCTAAACCCTAAATCCTAAACCCTAAACCCTAACCCCTAAACCCTAAACCCTAAAGCGGCCAGGGCTGAAGGCGTAGGGTGGGCCCACCTCAATGAGGGTGAGCTGCGAAATCTCTGAGGCTTTCGCTCTTGCCCTCGGGGTGGATGGAGGGATATGGTTTAGGGTTTAAAGGTTCAAGGGTAGTTCTAATATAGACCCCCAAATAGTAGGATCCCCTGATAAGGACCCAGTCAGGTAGCCTAATGTCGGAACCCCCAAGTAGGGGCTCTAGATGTACCTTGACTCAAGGTTATACTTTAGATTGTCGCCTTCAAACAAGGTTTAGGGTTCGGGAGCTTGTCCCAAACTCGGAAGCCCGAAACCCCCCAGAACCCAAAGCCCACGTAAGCAGCGCGGCTTTGGTTACCTTAGTTATGGCCTTATGGCATCTTACCACCCTGCGCAGGTTTATGGTAGACAAGAACATCTGGGTCCTATGGGGTCTTGTGACATTCAAGGCTACTTGATTGGCTTGCGCATCGTTTTTGGAAGCCCTGCCGTAAGCCCTCCTGAACTCCTGAGACCCCAAGCCCTGAAGCAGAGGTCTGCAGCTGATTCTGGCTACGAACCGCTTCGAGGAGGGAGTTTTCGAGCGTAAGATGAGGGTTCAGGGTTTAGGGTTTATGCTCCGAGAATCTGGATGCAGAAGTTTCGTAGGGCAATGTTGGGAAAAATTTGAGAATACTCTGTTCCAGAATTTCGGCCCGAAACCCTGAACCCGAAACCCTAATACCCTAAACCCTAAACCCTACACCCTAAACCTTAAACCCTAAACCCGAAACCCCAACCTCCAGGGTCTGTGGGTTGGTGGTCAAAGCGTCATGAGTCTGCCGCTCTGCTTCTTTTGAGGCCGCCCGAAAGCCCTGCAAAGGAAGCCCTGGGCTCTCTTCGGGGTTCAGGGTTCAGGGTTCAGGGTTCAGGGTTTAGGGTTTAGGGTTTAGGGTTTAGGGTTTAGGGATGCTGGGGGGCTTGGGATGCTCAGGGCTTCGGGTTTCGGATGCTTCGGCTTTTGCCTGGGAGTTGAGGGTGCCCTTCAGGGTTAGGGTTTAGGGTTTAGGGTTTAGGGTTTAGGGTTTAGGGTTTAGGGTTTAGGGTTTAGGGTTTAGGGTTTAGGGTTTAGGGTTTAGGGTTTAGGCCTGAGGGAGTTCAGGGATGCACTTTCAGGACCTGGATGAGGCCGTGCTCAGCCGCCTGCCCTTCAAGATCAAGTTCGGCGCGCCCAGTGCAGAGCTGCTTCAGCAGCAGGCCCCGCAACCCTAAACCCTAAACCCTAAACCCTAAACCCTAAACCCTAAACCCTAAACCCTAAACCCTAAACCTTAAACCCTAACCCTAAACCCTAAACCCTAAACCCTAAACCCTAAACCCTAAACCCTAAACCCTAAACCCTAAACCCTAAACCCTAAACCCTAAACCCTAAACCCTAAACCCTAAACCCTAAACCCTAAACCCCAAAGATAAGGGGAAAGGGTCCTCTTCTGGCTCTCTAAAACAGGGACCTTGTTGAGGGTCTATATCCCCAAGGGTCCCCCTAACCCTATCCCCTGTTCGGGCTTCCAGCGCCGGCTTTGAAGTGTGCAGAGCGTATGGGTGTAACCTTCAACCCTAAAAGCATGAAACCCTAGACCTTACAACACTAAACCCCTCAGCCCCAAGCCCCAAGCCCCAAGCCCCAAGCCCCAAGCCCCAAGCCCCAAGCCCCAAGCCCCAAACCCCAAACCCCAAACCCCAAGCCCGAAACCTCAAACCCGAAACCTCAAACCCTCAACCCAAACCCAAAACCCAAAGCCCCAAGCCCTTTACTTACTGTTGGCTCGTAGGGAACGGGGGAATGAGGTATCCTATACAATCCCTTGAAGGGTGTATAGGAGATGGTACCTTATTCCCTCACTCCCTACTAACCAACAGCAAGTAGCCCTAAGCCCTAAACCCCTAAACCCTACACCCTAAACCCCAAACCCTAAACCCTAAACCTTAAACCCAAAATCCCAAACCCTAAACCCTAAACCCTAAACCCTAAACCCTAAACCCTAAACCCTAAACCCTAAACCCTAAACCCTAAACCCTAAACCCTAAACCCTAAACGCCCTCAGTTCGACGACCGCGCTGGCCGCCTTGCGGCCCCGGCTGCCGAGCGGCTGCGGCAGCTCTTGGGCCAGCGAGGCCCAGGGGAGGGAAGTTTTGATCTTCGGGTTTTTTGGGGAGTTTGGGGTGGGTTTAGGGGTTTAGGGTTTAGGGGTTAGGGTTTAGGGGTTTAGGGGTTTAGGGTTTAGGGGTTTAGGGTTTAGGGGTTTTGGGTTTAGGGGTTTAGGGTTTAGGGTTCTGAGGTTTAGGGGGTTTCGGGGGGTTAAGGGGTTTTCAGGGTTTAGGATCTAGGGATCGGGGGGTTAAGGATGCAGGGTGGATGAAAGGAATCGTTTTCATTTTAATTTTGGGTTTAGGGTTTAGGGTTTAGGGTTAAGGGGGTTCAGGGTGTTTTAGAAGTAGTAGGTCAGTGGGCGGTTTGAACCTTCCAAGCCTCCAAACTCCTTGAACCCATCAACCCACAAAGCCTTCAACCCTAAGCCCCCCAAACCTTTCACCCGGAATCCACCTACGCCCCGAAAGACCCTTTACGACCTCTTGAACCCCAAATAACCCTCTCATTCACCTGGTCCCTCTATTGAAACCCGCATAAACCATAAAGCCCTCCCGTTAAGCCTTGAGCCTTAAACTCCAAAACCCTATCCCCAGACCCCAACACTCGAACCCTCGAACCCCCAAGAGTAAAAAGGCAACCTTGATAAAAGCCCTTTAAGACCCTCCACTTGAACCCTCGACCTAAACCCTAAACCCTGAACCTAAACCAGAAAAGCCTTTAACAAAGCCTACTCCGTAAACCCTGAACCCCAAACCCCAAACCCCAAACCCCAAACCCCAAACCCCAAACCCCAAACCCCAAACCCCAAACCCTAAAGCCTAAACCCTAAACCCTAAACCCCAAACCCTAAACCCTAAACCCTAAATTAAAGACCCCCGCAACTTCCCCAGCCCGAGGCGAGGGTCAGCCCCATGGCTTGCAGCTGCTCGGCAGGTCTTGGGGTTTGGGGTTTAGGGTTTGGGGTTTAGGGTTTAGGGTTTGGGGTTTAGGGTTTGGGGTTTAGGGTTTAGGGTTTGGGGTTTAGGGTTTGGGGTTAGGGTTTAGGATGTTGGGTATGGGGTTTTGGGACTTGGTTTTGGGGTCTGGGTTTAGGGTCTGGGGTTTGCGGTTTTGAGTTTGAGGTGCAGGGTTTGGGGTTTAGATAAGGGTGTTTGTCGGTTTTTGATGGTGTTGGTTGTCTAGATGGATAAGATAGCAAGGTGTCGGGTTTCGGGTTTGGGCAGTTGTTGGGGGGTTTGTAATCGTTTAGGTTTTAAACTTCCGTGCGTCATAAGGGACGACGCGCATCACTTATACATTATTTCCACTAAGCTTTCGTGCGTCATCTGGGACGACACCCATTGCTTGTACATTTTGGAAAGCGGGGGGGGGGGAGAACCTAGACCCTGAACCCTAAACCCTAAGCTCGAAGCCTTTAAACCGAAGGGAGTGGTTCCAACAAGAGAGCGCAGGCTGGAGGGCCTCGGCTTTACCGGCCGGGACGTGCAGAGCCTCTTCGAGGCCTCTGCTTTTTTTGGGGGGGGGGGGGGGGGGGGTGTGGGGGGGGGGGGGGGGGGGTGGGGGGGCTTGGGGGGGTGGGTGGGGGCGGTGGGGGGGTGGGAGGGGGGTGGGGGGTTTAGGGTGTAGGGTTTAGGGTTTAGGGTTTAGGGTTTATAATAGGGTTTAGGGTTTAGGGTTTAGGGTTTAGGGTTTAGCGTTTAGCGTTTAGCATGTAGCATTTAGCGTAGGGTTTAGGCATCGGGTTGGGGGTTCAGGGCTTAGGGTTAGGGGCTTGGGGTTGAGGGGTCGTTTCTTGCCAGAGGGGAGGGACCCTAATTGGGGTTTCCTCCTTAGTAACTACTTACTGATCCCCCCCGCGATCCCCCAAGTCAACCCAGAGCCCGAAGCTCTAAACCCAGGGTTTAGGGTTCAGGGTTTAGAACCCTAAACCCGAAACCCGGAGTTTGAAAGCCTGGAGCCCTAAACCTTACCCCTGGAACCCTGGAGCCCTGGAGCTCCCGGGATAGATTTAAATTTGGGCTTTGGGGGGGTCGAAAAGGGTTTGGGGCGTAGGGCTCCGGAGCGTAAGGCTCACCTGGTGATCGGCTGAGAGTTTCGGGGTCCTCGCAATTCGGTTGAGACTCGGCCCTGGTTGCGCAGTGTAGGAAATGTGGGAACCCATGCAAGCCCAGAAAAGCCTTTGCACCTGACACCCTCAAGCCTGAAATCTTGAAGCCACATACGCAGAATGTCAAGACTTCCCAGCTTAGGGTTCAGGGTTGAGGGCTTAGGGTTTAGGAAAATCCCCTACCTCCAAGCAGGAGTTTGGGCGCCGGTGGAGCCTCGAGAAGGCTTCGGGCGGCAAACGCAAGGCCGACCAGGCCCGACATATCCGGGTGTTGGGCTTAGGAGGTCAGAGTTCAGGGTTTAGGGCGGAGCTTCCCAAGCTCTTGAGCCCCCCCAAGTGTGTTGCTGTGGGAGGAACTTCAAGTAAGCTACCGTCTTATTGCTCGGACTATTGTCATAAATGTCATCGCTATTCATATTGGTTCGTGTTTGCATACAGGTGTTCCTGTCACGTTTCGTCCTAGAATCAGTATCAGCATCAAATCGCTATCAGTATTCTTATGACTGTGAATATGAATATTCTCATGAATACCAAGAGCATTTCAGTAGACATAGTCCTCGTAACAGTCATCGAAATAGCAACGGTAGCAAAGAATGGTCATAGGAATGGCAATCGTAATCGCAATAGTACGACTACGAATATTCAGGGTCATGAGAAACACCTGCGTATGCAGTCTATGTCCTACATGAGAACTAAGAAATGCTCCTCAACAGCTTCCCAGTCCCAGCCAGAGGTGCCCAGATAACGAAAGGCTTGAAAGCCAGGCGACAGGAGCCCTCAACCCTAAACCCTAAACCCCATCCTAAACCCCAAAACCCAAACGTGCCGCGCTTCTTTCGGAGGACTGGCTCGATCGCTGGCTGCAGTACAGGTAGTTGAGGACTGCGGTGGGCGGAGGGTTTAGGTCTTACGGCCTTGCCTTTGGGTTCCTGCTTGTTTATCAGGGTTTACGGTTTGGGGGGTTTAGGGTTTAGGGTTTAGGGTTTAGGGTCTAGGGTATTTCACAACTCTGTCGGGCTTTCGTGATCGTATCGGCTGAGCTTGGGGGGGGGGGGATGGAGGTAGTGCTATATAAGTGTTAGTAGCTTTACCCAGAAAGCCCAATACCCAACACCCCAAAACCCTAAACCCGAAACCCTAAACCCTAAATCCTAAATCCTAAACCCCTAAGCCCAATACACACTACTCCATAGGTGAGCAATGTCTCGTGATATGAATCGCCCTGCTGTGGTTCAAGGTCTTTTCCTTGGCCTTAAGGAGGGAAAGGGGGGTTTCCGAAATTAAGGGTACCTTCTTTGGGTCCTTATTACAAGGGAATCCTTCTATTTGGGGGTCTAAATTAGGGGTTTCCAATATCGGAACCCCCCAAAAAGACCTTAAGTGACATTGATAAGGGTCCTACCTCTGCCAAGCATCTCAAATGAAGGTGAAACCCGAAAACCCCAGAAACAATCCCCCATATTATACCCTTTAAAGAATAACCCTAAACCTTAAACCCTAAACCCTAAACCCTATACCCTAAACCCTAAACCCTAAACCCTAAACCCTAAACCCTAGGTACTTAACGTCCATTCCCTACTGAGAACCAAGGGGCAGGTTTTGGAACTCCGGGTCCGGCTCACAGAAACGTTGGGTTTAGGGTTTAGGCTTCAGGGTTTAGGGTTTAGGGTTTAGGGTGTAGGGTTTAGGGTTTAGGGTTTAGGGTTTAGGGATTCTTGAAGATCATGGGTAGTTGTAAGTAGGAAAGCAAGTCAGGTAACCTATATTAAAACCCTGAGTTAAGGTGCTTACAAGCCTCTAATGATAACTACCCATCAGCTGCAAGAGCTTTTTGTCAGGAGCCCTCTGTGAACCACAGCACTCCCTGATCCTGGCCCCGGCTCCGTTGCTCAGCCGGATACCCCAGGGCTCTCTGCCCACTCGAGCAGAGGTCCCCTCTCAGAGTGGAGGAGGTTTTTCGCAGCAAGGAGGATGGGGTGCTCCACCCCATATTCTCAAGCAACGAGGTGCCGTGTCTTGAAGCCACGTGCGCCTTTGTGTGATGTCGCCAGGGCCAATTGCCCCACCCAAAGCACAATGCCCTGGGCTGTGACGGGCATCTCCTGGATGTGCACGACTCGACGGGTGACACCCAAGTTGGCGAGAGAGAGAGAGAGAGAGCTGCCGACCGTGCCCAAGGTGCTGTTCCCAGAATGGGAGGAAAACATGGGCAAATGCGTAGGTGCGGAGCGGGTTCATGTATTGCGAGGGGGGATCTTCAAAATGAGGACCCTTTTGTGCGGTGCATCCTGAAAGTAGGCACCAGGATCTCTCCATTGGGACAAGGTGTTCTTCAGGATTTCCGTCGCCAGCTTTGCCACGGCGCAAAACAATTCGAGTGTTTCTCCAAAGACAGCCTCAAAGCTGAATTTGGTTTGGGGTTTACTCAAAGCTGGCATGTACTCACATATATACATCTATACCATGTCATCCATATATTTGTATTTATATTTATATTTATATTCATATTTATATGTATATTTATATGTATGTATGTATATGTAGATACACTTGTAACGGTGCTTATACGTACACACACACACACATATATGTATATATGACCCGAACGAAAAGGATGCTTGCCCCTTTTGGTTTGAGGCTTCTGTTGCTTCTCAGGCTGGACGTGCTGGACAAGATCAACAACTGCATGGTGGACGAAAAGCCGGGCTCTTGGGTTAAGATGCAGAGATGCTAAGTTGGGATGTTCCCTCTGATGCTAACAGTCCTTAATAGGGATTACAATAGGGGGTACGCTAATCCCTATAAAGGGCTGCTACCAGTAGTATCAAGGGGGAGCATCCCACATGCTAAGGCTTAAGCCCTGAAACCCTCAGCCCAGAACCCCAAACCCTGATACCTCGGCGGCCGAGGCAGACGTGAGCATGGGGCTTCTTTGCTCACGTGACAGGCCTCTGCCTTATAGCCTGCCCTAGACCGTAAACCCCAAACCGTAAACCGTAAACCCTAAACCCTAAACCCTAAACCCTAAACCCTAAACCCTAAACCTTAAACCCGAGAGCTGAGGAACGCGCCTTATCAGAACATCCGGATTTGGCACACAGAGGCGGGTCCAACTTCAGCCATCGGGTGCGGTATCAGTTGCCTTGCGTGGGTGCAGGATTGAAGGGTTCAAAGCCAAGGGGCTTTAGTATCTTTCGTGGCTTTCGAGGACTTCGTGTTGAAGGGAGATTTTGGGCTTTAGGACTTTTGGGGCTTAGGGGCTTATAGCCACTTGGAAAGGAGTAGGGGCCTATAGGGCGAGAGACCCCCTGGCTGACCCAGTGGCACCTTGTGTTCTCTAGTCGCTACGATCAGCCGGTTCAATACGCCGAGACAGTTCACATGCTTTAGGGTTTAGGGTTTAGGGTTTAGGGTTTAGGGCGGCTGCTCACTTTCAGACGATGATCTGTCGGACCGGCCTGGCTCAGGATGCAACCCAGCGGCTGTGCCGTCCGCATGTTTGAAACCAGGTGTCGTAGTGTGCCCACACGTGCAGAAAGAGTATTCTTCCGACATCTGCCGGCAGAGGTTGCTTGGTGGAACTGTAGAACTCCGGAGGCTCGCCCCCTCTTGTAGAAAGAGGGGGGGGGCCTTCTTATAACGCCAGCCCATGTATTTGAGGGCCGATGCGCCGATGGTTCCTGGACTGCAGACTCCAGCTTTGGTTCCTGGGCCTCAGCCGACCCGGGCACCGAATCCTGCCAGCTCCGGCGAACCCGCCAGCTCATACACCAGCTCAAGGACACAAGGGTTCAGGGTTCAGGGTTTAGGGTTTGGGGTTTAGGGTTTAGGGTTTAGGGTTTAGGGTTAGTTTTTATTTTTTGTTTTGGGAGCTGTCTTTTCTCGATAAGCCGCCCAGCTAAGATTGGGCAATCTGTAACAGGGGTTCTACGAGAACCGAGCGCAGCGTCAGGCCCGGGTGGCTACCCAGCCTTCTGGAGCGATTCCCTCCGGCTCCGGCCCCACCACCTCCAAATGAGGCTAGGTGGGCTTTGGGACATTTTTCTTCTACTTTCCTTGCGTGGGTTGATACGGGGCCCTGTATATAAGTAGGCACGCACTCGGGATGTTCTTGTATTTCCCTTTATAGGGGTTTGAGAGAACCCTCTTCAGGAGTATTGCTTTTCAGAGGGGGCTTCTTAAAGGGGCCATCCGAGGAGAGTACGGCAGAGCGCATGATGGCACGGATGGCCGACATAGGCAAGGCCCACATGGCGTTCTATCCGTGTGGTGGCGAGGAATGGGAGGAGGACCCGCTCCGCAGCCTCCTGGCGAAGGGCAAGCCGCGGTCCTGCAGGATGCAGTGCACCTCGCACACAGAGCGTCTCCAACTCGCACTGCTGGACCAACCGCACGGGATGGGCACAGCTTACCTCAATGCAGAAGAGAAGTCCTTCCTGAATGCACTCAACCAGGATGAGAAGTGCAGGATGTTCGCCCTCACAGATGAGGAAAGGGCCTTCCTGGATGAAGCGAAAGAAGGTGGCGTCATCACCATGCCACCTATGCCAAGCTTGCCATCCTCGGCAGGGACGCAGATGTGTCCCTACCCTTTGGCAGAGCCTGTGGAGCACCCGGTGGAGGTAGCTGACATCCTCAAGGACACTGTGAGCCGGTACTTCGAATGTCCCGCATCACTCCTACAGTGGCTTCAGTCAAGCGTGGGTTTCCGAAATTAG